ATATATAAATATATATATATACCATTTTTTTTCAAAATCTTGATTGGTGATTGTTTTTATTATAGTAAGCGTATTTAATACGGTAATGAACTACGGGAACTTAGAAAAATGTGTAAATTTTTATTTCAGTATCTGTTGTAACCTAGGGAATGTTACAGAATAGAATAATCGCACGAAGGTTGTTAATGAACGATAATACTTAGGACAAGAACAAGACATATAAGATTCGTCAACGGCGCGTAGAAGTAGTCAACTGCTAGAAGTGAGTCAAGTGAATTCCACAATGAATCTCCAACTTCAGTATATCTACCAATCGCCCCACGCGGTCAGATGTGGCACAAGGCTGAATTTAATGCGAATTATCCGAGCCCGTAGGCTCGGCCAAAATTTTCTAGGATACCCCGTATAAAACGGGGCCAGGTAGCTGTTTCCCGAGACGTCACTCTGCCATTCGACATAGCCTCATCTGGAGATCCTCTCTAGCCAAAAGCCTGGAGTTTTTTTTTTCAGTACAGCTGGTGATGCATCTCCAACTGTATGATATCTACCAACCGCCCCACGCGGTCAGATGTGGCACAAGGCCGGATTTAATGTGGGGTTTCCGACCCGTAGGCTCGGCCAAAAAATTCCCCGTATAAAACGGGTTTGATTCGCTGTTTCCTGAGACGAGATTCTGCCCTTCGACATAGCCTCGTCTGGGGATCCTCTCTGCCTCCAGGCAGAGAGTTTGACTAGCACAGCTGGAGACGAATCTCCAACTGCAGGATATCTACCAACCGCCCCACGCGGTCAGAGGTGGCCAAATTTAATGTGGGGTATCCGTGCCCGTAGGCTCGGCCAAAAATTCCCCTCTGTCATCAACCCAGTGTCGTTTATAACTTTGTCTTAAATAAAGTTAAATAAGCCAGGATAAGAGAAAACATTTTTTTACACTCCTCTTTCTGTTCTGATGTAATGAATTTTTCTCACTCCAGGAAATAATTGGAGGTGACTAAAAACTATGGGATCATTAAGGGACTGCCTCGTAACACGAGGATTATCTGTATTAGCAATGATAAAATTTTAGCGGTTTATATTTCAAGAACTATCTTAAATAATACTATGTTGAATATTATATTTCAAGTTTTAATTAAAAGTTTAAACAAATTACATACGAAAAGTGTTTATTCGGTAAAAAAATGTTCCTATAATATTTTATTATTCTGCATCAGAAGCTCAGTACACGCTTGTACCATTTGGCTGTTTTAGAGGCAAAATACTCTCCGTAAGTTTTATTGAACCTCCATTTGTGCAGGAAATAAGCCATTGCTCTGAAGAGGTGGTAATATGATGGTAAATGGTCTGGACTGTAGGAAGGTTAAGGTAACACTTAAAGTCTCTCAAGTTCCTCAGGTTTAGGCTTCGTCACATTGGCAGTGTCTGTGCTGAGGCATTGTCATGCTATAGTAGTACGCGTTTTCTTTTGACCAATGTCTCGTAGCGGGTTTTCAAATCAACATTTATTCGATGCGGGTTTTGAGCATTAAGGTCGGCGTTCACAGCATGGCATTCTGAGACAAGCTCAACGTGCAACATCCTCTCGAAATTCCGTTAAACACACATTACCTTCTGTTCAAACTGCCCTTTTATGACAACTCGTTCTGAAACCTCGCCCGGAACGAAGCCACTGAGAATTACGAAAATAGATTCATTTTTCATTCTCATTTACAATTCGACATCAAAAACGGGCATCTTGAAGATTGCCATCTGTTCTTTGCAAATGATCAGACGCTGTTTATATAGGTCATTGTTCAGTTCATGAGGAACTTCTCGACAGTGACTGTGCACATAGTCGAGTTGAAGGTCGGGTCGACTGATATTGTTTTGTGAAGGATCAGGTCCTGTACGAGTGCTTCTGCTTGGCTGTCGTTCAATCATTTCAATCAAGGTATCCTTTTTCACAACAGACGGTTTCCCTGACATTGTTTCATCTACGAGAATGTTGTCACTTTTCTAGAAACGTCTGGACCAGTTTTGTGTCACAGTTCATTACAAATCATGAATTTCTTTTGTCATTACCCTTGCATTGACTTTTTTTTTTTTTTTCTACCGATAGCATAAAAATGGCTCTAATTGAATTTGTTCGTCGCTCATTATCAAAACTTTTTTTTTATAAGAATTTCACCCCAAGCACGACAGGACTGTCACTAGCATGCAGGGGGTTACAGGGAGTGAAAACGAGAGGAAAAACTGGATATAAAGGTGATTGAGGAAAGGATGAAAGATGAATGGGTTTCAAATCAGCAGAATATGGTGGTTGGCGCGACATTTAATTTTTTGAAGAATGTAGTTATCGGAGAAGAAAGTAAAAAGGAAAGTATTCCACAGTTGAGAACTGCGAGAAAATAAGCTGTTGGAGTAGAAGTGGCAGTTTCATTTAACTATTTCAACGGTAAGAGGGTGTAACCAAGATACCAATCTAGTAGAACGCTTAAGTTCATGTAATCGGGGCACCAGGGTGGGGAACTCGTAAGAGCAGTTGCCATGAAAATGTTTGTAGAAAAGTCAGAAGAAAGCCACATCACGTCTCTGAGAAAGTGACTGAAATCGAGATGCCAGGTCAGGATCAGTTATATTGCAGATACTTCTCTGGATTTTGTCAAGAACCTCGTGATGAACAACAGGGTTAACACACCAGATATGGCAACAGTATTAAATTCACGGACGAATGGTAGATTTGTAGCTGTGTAAGATGGACTCTGACGAAAAAAAAACGTGTAAAATAATAAAAAAAAATAAACATACATTATATATGAAAATAAAAAAAATATCTATTCAGCAACAATTGGAAACAAATTAATGAACTCACAACGAAGCACATTTTAACTGAATGTACTCATTTAACTCCTATAAAACAAATATTAAAAGGAAAATACGAGAAAACTATTTGAAAATACTGAAACCGTCAACATAACGGCGTGCATTAAAGAAATAGATCTATACTAAATCATATAAAACCTGTTATAGATCATCTACAAAATATATATATTAAAAAAAATATACGATTACCATGTAAGTATAAAATTATGTACGAAATCTCTGTAGTTGAAGGTATAAAATTACTTACAAAATATTTAGATTTCAGCATTCAATATGCTATTGATGTTGATCTGCCACTAAATAAAAACAACCAACCAAGCAACAAATTAATGATATAACAGAAAGATACAAGTTGCCAAAACCCATCAGAGAAATTCTGGAAAATCTTTTGACTTAACCTGGTAGAAAGCTTCTGTGCTCTTGACTGGTTACAATTGAATACGTATAAATGATCAGGATGAATTCCTTCCATGCGCTGTTGGCAGTGTAGAATGTCCTACTTGTGAAGTAAGTTCGAAGATTGAATTTCACAGCAGAGTAAAGAGCTGAAAACTGCAGGTTCTTCTTCATTAATTAGCGATGGGAACGTGAGTAAAATTGTGCAACTGATGATGATTCAAATTTCAAACGGTTCTCAGTTTCGTATCCTACTGCTTTAACTATGTATAATCTATTTGTAAACGAAAACGCACACGCAAACAAGCAATTATACTTACATACATGCTTACACATGCTTAAATCCACACATGTACACATACATACATGCAGACACATGCAAACACATATACATACGCAATATACACTTGCACAAATACGCAAACATAAACACAAATACACCCATGCACCCATATGCACATGCAGACAAATATTTAAACTCACATGCATACATACACACATAGACTTACATAAAACGCACATATATACATGAAAATAAATACATTCATACACACACACCTAAACGTACGTACACACATGCACACGCATTCACAGATGCCCATACATACAAATATTTAAACCTACATGCATACATACACACATAGACATAATAAAACGCACATACAAACATGAAAATGCATACATGCACTCACACACACCTAAACGTAATTAAACACAAGCACATACATAAACAGATGCCAAAACATGCAAATATTTAAACCCACATGTAAACCCTTTGTGTCTTAGTGGCTTTAGTGCCTTGCATGGGATGATACTGATTAAAAATAAGCATACGTATGCACGTATCAATTATAATTTTGTGATCAGCGACTAGTGTAATCATATTGTCTTAAAAGGGACGGCAATATTTAAGAAAGCTTTCTTCCTGTGTCTCTTCAGGATGTAGGTGATCATGACTCTTCACACTTTCCTATCCTTTGTAGCATTTCTGTAAGGTATGCTATTCTTTTCAAAACCTGTTCTTCCAGATATTTTACACAAGATTTCCTGTGTCACTCATGTCTGCAGTATGTTCTTTGAGTTTTAAACTCTTCTGGCTCAGAAAGGTGGTTCTATAGAAGGATGCAGAAAATCATCATCATCATCATCATCATCATCATCCACTTGACTTTTGTAATCGTAGCGGGGAACCAAAAGCAGAAGCCATATTGAATCTCTTTGTCATATGCCCTAGTCGACGAATGGGTTTATAAGGCGATCATACGCCGACTAGGAGATATATACATTCTCACACCTGTGGAGAGATACAAGCTATCTTTCTCAGATCGTGACAATGGACAATTGGTAAACAAAAAATATATTTTTAAGAACACTGTTCGATTAGGATAATCGAACAGTAATCTTTCCCAGGTCCGCTTCGTTTTCAACACGAATACTGATCCACAATACAAGGATGAACTATAAGGCTTAGCGAGAATTTTAATATGTACAAATATACAAATATTAAAATAAAAGGAAAATATAAGTATGAGTTAAAACATCCGACGACCAGATCTCAAAACTTACGTTGGGATATCAAAATTCGCCTAACTCCAAATGGATTCAACTGAACCCGAACATACAAAAATATAAGTATGAATTACTATGAATGCAGAAGCCAACACATACACAAAAGAGATGGGATAGGAGTTACAATTATTGTTTTGACATGTGGAAAGGTGTTTGCAAGAACATAATATTCATGGATGTATGTATATCTTTCTATTACGGGTCCAAAATATGAATACTTACTTTTTATATTCAGTTCTCTTTTTTTTATCTTTGTCCTTTCTTCTCTTTTCCCGACACAAACACAATTTCACACACTGTCCGGCTGTAACAGAGGTATACACTTTCTTCCTCTCTTTGTTTTGCCCTTTTCTTTCCTTCCTTTTTCTTCTGTAGACAGTTCGGTTTCCAAACCCGACTCACTGCAACAGGGATATCCACTTTCTTCCTCTCTTTGGTTTTCTTCTTTCTTTCCTTCTTCTTTACACAATTCAGTTTATAACAGAGGTATACACTTTCCTCTCTGGTTTTCATTTTTCTTTCTTTACACAATTCAACTTGTAACAGAGGTATATACTTTCTTCCTTTCTGGTTCTCCTTTTTCTTTTCTTTACACAATTCAACTTGTAACAGAGGTATACACATTTCATCTCTGGTTTTCCTTTCTCTTTACACGCAGGCTGAATCCTCAACGTATAAATTTCTCTGCGTCTTCAATTTCGAACAGGAATACTTCTTATATTTCTTGTCCGGAGTTGCCTGGGTTGAACTGGATGGGTTCCATCACTATCAAATGAGTCTTATCTTTCCGTTCATAAACTATCAGCGCTTCGACTTCAGGTCTTGCTTCTTCAAAGTCAAGATAGCAACTGATTCTCGAGTGAATCTCTGACTATCACGTGTCTTAAGTTTTGGCGCGAATTCCAGCTTACATCAGTCCCCTGTCTAGCTTCTGTCTAGACATTTGTCGCTACGGGTAATTGGGTCAGTCGACCTTTTGATCTGCCTTCCCAAAATGTCCTAAGACTACCTATTCTGTTGCTAGGCGGAAATTAACCTTAATAGATGCGTGTATGCGTGTCTATGCTATCTGCTTTCGTCACACTCCTCCACAACGATCTATCAACGGCAGCCATCAGTAATTCTGGCATAGTCATACTTGTCTCTTGTTTGATATGCTGAGAATACTACGGACTAAACCTGTTAGTAACGCAGACATTTTAAGGAAAAGCGAAACAAAACTAACGCGTATATTTACAATCAGAAAAAGACAGTTGAAATTTCAGGGATACATAATTTTGCAAGTACTAACATAAAATAATAAACCTTTTATGTACATTCTTTAAAATCATTTCACATTAAACAAGTTGATAATGACATTAAGACGAAAGAAGTTTACGGGGAGTGAAAAAGAATGAGAAAATTTTGGAGAGAAGAAAAAGGACAATAAAAGAGAGGTGGGGGTTGATGTTGCATTTAATTTTAAGGATGTAGGCGACAGGAGAGCAAACAACTTTCACGAGTATATTCTGAACTTTCAAATTTATTTTTAACGCTGGCCGTATGTTTCGTTAACTAACAAGGGTAATTCCGAAATCTACCTATCATGGTATAAAGTTGCGTTCCTATAACGTCAATAGAAATGCCCACTACGTACCCTAAACGTCTCAACAACGTACCCTAAAACAGTCCACTACTTATGGAAGAGCAATTCGACCATATAATATATATTCCTGATGACGAACGGGTTCCGCACAATATTCCATCTCATATTTGTGCATTCAAATTTCTTGCTTTGCACTCTCATTCTATCCCTATTGTTCTCGCTAGACATACGTCTACGTTATTTCGAGCACAATAACAGGCACAAGAGCCACTCAAGGTAGAGAGTTACTGAAAGAGGTTTCCTGGACTAAGAGGAGTTAAGTATTTTAAATGATAAGGATAGATGAGGTTGAAGATGGATTTGAAGAAGTTAAAATTGTAACGACCGGGAGAGCAATACCTTGGGAGTCTGTTCCACAAAGGATCAGCTCTTCTGGAAAGAAGATTCCCGAATGGAACTTGCTTCTTACCAACATAACTCGAAGGTAATGAAAATGATTGGATCCTGTGCACATGGTATGGGAGTTACTAGCTGTAAAATTTTGAAATGATGGAATGAAGGAATGCAGCTCAAAACAATTTCTATGCAAAGTGTGAGAGGTTTCCGATATTGTGTCTTTGAGGAAGCGACTTCACGGCAAAAAATAGTTAATCGCCTACAGGGCCGAGTAAAAGTTTTGTATTCTGTCAAGTTTGAAATGAGAGGATTTGGTACCTGGAAGCAATATACGGCTATATTTAATCTAACCCCCACTCTCAATCTTTCTATCTCTCTTTTTACAAACACATACACACACCCACACCCAAACAAACACACACACACACACACACACACAAACAAACAAACAAACAAACACACACACACACACACACACACACACATATATATATATATATATATATGTGTGTGTGTTTGTGCGAGTGAGTGTGTGTGTATGTTTTTAACTGTTTATGAAAATAAGAAGAAAATAATTTAATTGGTCTCCTGCCTATCTAAAATTTACTACTACCATATATATATATATATATATATATATATATATATATATATATATATATATATATTACACCGAAAACATTTCAAAATCGCAACACAACTGCAGTAGTATGGCGCAGCAATGCATCTCATCAGGCGATAAATTATTGATCTAATTTGTATTGACACCTCTTTTACGAATGTTGGATTTGTACACTATTCGTTCTCATCTTACATGGATTTATATATATATATATATATATATATATATATATATATATATATATATATATATATATATATATATATATATATATATATATATTGTTTGTGCTTGTTAGATTCATTTATTTCTTAATATCTACTCTGGTCCGTTCTTGCCTCTTTTTCATCTGTCCCACACAAATTGAAAGACATATTTGAACAAAAAGTGTCTGACTTTTTCAAAATTTTCTCCATGCCATTTAAATTTAAAATAATCATACGTATCAACACAATATTCTTGAATGGTTACTCTTACAGAATTGAATAAGAATGGTGTTGCTTAATAGGTTTTATAAACTTGAACGGAATACGTCATTTTCTGCGTTCTCTAAGCCGATATTTTGATGCTCTCCTCTTTGTTTTCGAAAATTTCTGATTAGTCTGACCTGATTAAAAACATCTTAAATTTGCGTTAAAACAAGTTATGGCTCAGGTGGAGGTGCTTTCATGGTTTCATTAGCTGTAAAAGGAGCTGCTGAACACCAGTTTGTCGCTTAAGGAGGATTTTATTTTTGAAACTGCCCTCGACAGTACGAACTTTTTGTTATGTTGCTCTATTGCTACTTGTAGAAGAATGTTGGCACGAAAAGAAAAAAAATATGTCCGAACAGAAACACCTGAAAGGTTAGGAAAGAAAGAATAATGGAAATAGTAAGAAAGAGAGAGAGAGACAGAGAGTTGAAACAGGTGTAAAAGAACGAAAGGAAGGAACGAAGGAAGAAATATTGAAAGAAAAAAAAAGGAATGAAGGACGAAGAAAGTTGGCTTAAACAATGATACGAAAGCAGAAAGAAAAAATAAAGAAAAAAAGAAGAAACCATTATTAACGGAAAGAAAAAAATCGAAATTCAAAAGAAAAAAAAACAAAAATAAATCAAAGGTGGCATGAAGAATAATAAGAAAGATAGAAAGAAAAACTAAGGAAAATAAAACGAATAAAGAAAAAGAAAGAAGATATAATCCATTATAGAAAGAAATAGAATTTTTTTTAAATTTAAGAAGAAAGAAAGAAAGAAAAAAAGAAAGAAAGAAAGAAAGAAAGAAAGAAAAAAAGAAAGAAAGAAAGAAAGAAAGAAAGAAAGAAGGTATGAACAATAATAAGAAAGAAGGTAAGGATGAAAATCAAAAGATAAAATTGAGAAAAAAGAAAGAAAAAAAATTAAAATTTAAAAGAAATATAGAAAAAGAAAAAGTAATCAATGATAAGAAGAAAAAAAAACTAAAGGAAAATAAAACAAATAAAGAAAAAAGAAGAAAAAGGCAATTTTACAAAGAAAGAAATATTTCAAAATCTAAAAAGAAAGAAAGAAAATAAAAGAAATGAAGAAAGATGGCACAAACAATGATAAGTGTGTAGACAAAAAAGAAAAAAAAATAATAAATAAATAAATAAAGAGAAACAATATAAAAAGAAATAGAAATAAAAAGATAAAGAAGAAAAGAAATAAGAGGGAAAAGACGACAAGAAAGTAAACAGCAATGTGAAATAAATAAAATAAGAAAGAAAGAAACAAAGAAAATAAGTGAAACAAAAGAATCGAACTTACTACAGATATAAAAAAAAAACTGCTAATTTATTTATTCATTTCTGCGATACAGAAAAATACCAATAAAGCTTAACTTAGTCTGGCAGAAGATTAAAACTGCGAGAACCCAATGTGAATGAAAGTGACTTCACCAGTAAGATTAACATTTATATAAGTAAATATAAGTAAATATAAGTAAATAGTCATGAAGAAATGTTCACTTAGTAAGCGCTAACATCTCTACAATTGCAAGATTAAATTGCAAACTATTACTTCATGAAGAATGGTAATAGTTTTTATTTTATTTCTTACTTTCTTCCTCTATTTCTTTCTTTCCTTGTTTCTTTCGTCTTAAATTTTAAAATTTCTATTTATAATGGATTATATCTTCTTTCTTTTTTAATTTTCTTTCGATTTTCTTTCTGTCTTTCTAATTATTCTTTATGCTATCTTTCTTTGTTTTTACTTTCTCTTTTATTCTCTCTAGATTTTTAATTTTTTCTCTCTTTTTAAAATGGATTCTTTTTTCTTTTTCTTTATTTGTTTTATTTTCCTTTAGTTTTTCTTTTTTGTTGTTTATGCCATCTTACTTCGTTTATTTCTGTCTTTCTTTCTTTTAAATTTTAAATTTGTTTCTTTTTCTTTACAACACTACAAATAGGAGCATCCAGTGTGGACTTAATTCACGCCATTAGTTTGGACATGTGAGATTAGCTTGCTGACTATTGGTTCCTAGAAGCAAAGCAATAAGGAAGAAAGACAGTCAGGAAAGAAAGCAGGCAAGCTAAGGATTTAAAGATGTGAAACAGATAAGGTTACGTCGATTCTTGGTTGCCGACTGGGAAATCAACTGCTTGCACGAATCTCCCTTTTTTGTTCACATTCTAATATATTTAAGCAATCACATTCTCAATGGCGAATTTATGTCCTGAATTTACATTCAGTTCAGTTATGTACCATGCGTGATACATGCTTAGGTGATAATGTATCTTTCGATACATGACTGACAAGGCAGATTTTTTCCTGCAGTAGGTTGCCATTTCTTTCTACGATAGACTATTTGCCATTCAAGTCTATAGAAATCAGTCTGTCCTGCTATTTACCCATAGCTGGGTGTTGAAGAAGAGGAATCATACCTTTCCTAAGGGTATTAGCACGTAAGTGAATCTAATGGATTCGACCTCGGCTCTCAGATTCCTCAATCCGAGTCACTATCCATTACTCCACCGTGCATACATTATGGACACATATTCGAACACTCAGAACCCTTGTATATGTACCGATATATATATATATATATATATATATATATATATATATATATATATATATATATATATATATATATATAAATAACAAGGTCCGACAATTTATTTATTAAAAGACATTTTTTATGTTTAACGTTGTTATTTATAGATACAAGTAT